ATTCCACCAAATGCTCCATCATCATAATCACCCGGGGCAGGCTACAGTAGGCCAATCAGTGGTCGCCGTGCCGAGTTGACCCAGTTGGACTCCATCCCCCACTAAGCGAATTAAAAAAAATTTAACACTATGCCATGACGACGTATATATATATATAGATCCACGTTTACTTGACCTCAGCACTAGTTGGAAGTGAATGGTCAGCTTCACGTCCCGGCCGCTTTACCCGTGGGGAGAGAACCCCCAGTACCCATTGGATAGGAGGGTGGGTGGGCCGGTCTGGACGACTTGGACAGGTGAAAATTCTTGCTTCCACTTGGACCCGAACTCCGACCCTTTGGTCGTTCAGCCCGTAGCCAATCGCTATACCGACTGAGCTATCCCGGCTCTTATCGGAAAGCATGTTCACAGAAATTTAAAAATTATATGGATCGTTGAATTTAAAGTTGTAGAAATTTAAACTTTTTCAGTTTGGTATACAATGATTGCCATGAAACAGCATGTACAAGCGATTACTGTTAACCCTTTCCATGTTACATTCTCTTGTTTAGATATTTCCTCAGTGTCGAGGTTTTGGCGATTTTACTGCGGATGTGTCTGCTTCCATAACTTCGTATGATGCCAGTAATGGTAGCGTGCGACATTGTGTGACGCCAGTAACATTGAATAGGTCAAAAAGTAAGCGATGAGAACTCTGAAACTAATCAACATTTATCATAACGTGATGGTTTGCTGAAGTTGCAGTTTGCGAAGCACGGAACGATTTTGTTTAATGGCTTTTGAATGCATAGTATTCGTTCCATTAGGCACACACTCGTTTCTCTAGGCGCTGTGTTACCGTCGTGAAGTAGGCGAAGGTTTTATTGTACTTTCAGAAAGAACAACAAAGTAAGCAAGTGTAACGAACTGTAAGAAAATGCAAATCCTGTTGCGGCGAATCTTCCGAAACGAATTTGCTCGCCAGATTGTATACACCTAAACCGTACAAGAGGATGATGACCCGGTGTAAGGGTCGAAACATGTTTCATCTGTAGAAAACAAATATAAAAGTAAATGTTGATGCAGTTGTATCTTCTTTGTTTTTAAATACAGAATATTGTTGTGTATACTCCACACCTTATGTACTTTTATATAACAAGAAGGAATCAGCACAAAATAGGCCTACATAATTTCGTTTCGTCCAGCAGTTTTATTTTTAAGTTGGTTATTTAACTACGCTTTCAGTATCGAGACTGTAGAGCCTCAGGAGTAGGGTTGGAATGTGTCCCTCTACACACGACCCCAGCACACAGTTTGATGTAATTTTAAGTCCTATGAGTCCAGCACACTAACTGATGAGCCAGATTGCATTGTGCTGTTGCGTTACCTACTTATACTACTTGTGTACTATGTACTTTGTCTGAATGATTAACAACATAACATTTTTAGCAATAGAAAACTGTGCAGTGGAGGCTTTGTGAGATCTGTCGGAAACTGGGTGTTCCTGTGCTAAGTGTAGCCTGTGTTTTGTTGCAGTGGCCTGTTCCCCTGGAAGCGGCAAGGAACTGCGGGGAGTTCCTGTTCGACCCCAAGTCCAGGGTTAAGGCCCCCCACGCCAGAGACTTCCCGTACCGCTCCTGCCACGGTGAGTCTGTTTACTATGACTTTAAGGACGAGGGGAAAAAAAAGGAAACTGGCAACCGCAATTTCCGAGAATTGTTATCAGCCTAAGTTGAACACATGTTACTGAATGGAGCAACGCAAACTGAGGAAACTGCTTTGCTCGTTTCCTTGGTGTGCCATCGCCCTATCTGCTCAGTCAGTCGCTGATGTTTGACCAGGTACTAAATCGCTATGTATTGTGACATGACGCCTGAACACCGAAGTGTACATACAGTCTTAAAACCACAGCAGAGACGTATGTTGCTAGACAACGGCTAGTCGAAACATTTCCGCGGCAACAAATACGCTTGTATAAATTAGCGCGTTGCCCAGAGATTGAGACACGTTTCATGGCAAGAGAGAATACCAGACGAATCAATTGTCAGACTGACTGTTCTGTATTCGGTACGCGTGAAATTAGTTCAGTCCGAGTTTTCAGACAGCCAAGTAGAGAGTTCCAGAGGATTGAGGATGGAGGATTCGTTAGTTGAAGTGTTGCCAGATAACGACTAGTAAGCGGGCGTTAAAGAATCCATTTCGCGTGTTATAGTTACAGTAATCCTCAGAATGTACTTACGACTTGTGAGTATCCAATAAATCAATTCACCAATTCAAACCCCGTCTAGATGTCACCAATACACGTGACATGTTTGAACAGTTCTGCATAGAGAGCGGCATTATGGAGCGCATATAGAAGAGGCAGGCATTGGTCCTCTAAAGGTTTGTTGTACCGCAGTTAAGTTGTTGATTCTTCGTTGTCTGAAGTACGTCTGTTTATTGTGTACTGCATTTCGGGAGTTCGTTCTGTTGTCACCTTCAGATGATTGGTTTTCATTAAACTGACAGAGCAACAAACTCCATGATTTTAGTCCGGAAACGAACTATACCGACCGAGCTGCGAAGTTTAGTGCCAACTTTTGCGGATAGAGGGTGTCGCGCGGTCAGCGCAACGAATCCCCACCGCCGTTAATTTCGGTTTTCTAGACCGGAACCCAATATTCTGATAGAGTTTGGGATACCCATGAAACTAGTTAGGTTGATTAAAATGTGTTTAAACGAAACGTATAGTAAAGTCCGTGTAGGTAAACATTTGTCTGATAAATTTCCTATCCAGAATGGTCTAAAAGAAGGAGATGCTTTATCGTCATTCCTTTTCAACTTTGCTTTAGAATATGCTATTAGGAAGGCAAAAGGAAACCAGGTGGGAATTAAATTAAACGAGACACATGAGCTGTTGGCCTATGTCGATGATGTGAATCTACAGGGTGATAATGTAGATACCATAAAGAAAAACACACAAACTTTAATTGA